GTTCAAGGGATATATTCTTAATCCCTTTAATAGGTAGCAAAATACCTTGAATGAGCTTAAAACAATCTTCGCACTCAATATCATCAACATATAAATACGCTTTTTTTAATGGGCAAGATTGTTGAAGTGGTACAATCGGTTGTGACCGCTTAAGATTCCACACACAAGATGGAAGAGTTAATAAACACAAACATAAAAGGCTGATTTTTCTATTCAAAGCAATACGATGTTAAATGAATTATCTTAATTATAAGAGTATCCCAAAAAATTTAATTAGCAAATTCACGGACAGAACGCTTTTTTGATCAATTAAAAATAACTTGACAACCCAAAAGTAGCTTGCTAGTCTTTCCCCAAGTATTTAACTAAAATGTCCCTAAACGAACAATACCAGAGTATTGTTCACCCCCTAACCCTTCAGCTTACTCTAAGTTGAAGGGATTTATTTTAAATAGACTATTGATTCATTATTCTTATCATCTTGAATTACAAGAAAATCATCCACAATATCCATAATTTTATACCCAAGAATAACTTCCCCCTTTTTTGCTATAATGCTCAAATTATTCGAGCTATTTTCACCATAAGATAAAATAGCAAAAGATTTAGTAGAATTATGTACTTTGCCCGCGCCCACGTAAGAAAAAGGAACTTTATTTCTTACGTCCAAAAAACAAAAGGGATTCCGATAAGAAATAGTTGTTAGGTTAAATAGACTTAATGAAATTAACAGTAACCTATGCTTCATTTTGAGAGGTATAAAATATCTAAACGAATTTTGCATCTTATAAGGCCTTGCTCATTTTTAGAAATAGACACTTGATTATATTTCAAACAATATTTTACATTAGACAAGCATTTAAAAAAATTAAATATATTTAAATAGGTTCCTTCAAGAGTTATATCAAAAGTTACTTGTTTACCTAATGGCGATAAAGCAGGCATTTCTTCGCTCAAGTTAATATCGACTTTAGCTATACGCTTCTTTAAACCTTTATCAGCTTTAACTGGACTATACTCAATAAGTGCTAGATCGTTATTTTCGATACACTCAATCACTCTTCGTAAACTTGCATTTGCATTTGATCGACCAAGCGAACTAATTTTATTGTTAATTTTTTCACTAAGATGCTCAATTTTTTTAGATAACTCAGCGCACTGATCATAACTTTGCGCGCAGATATTTTTTAAGGAAAAATTTTGTTTTAATATCGCTTTACATTGGGCTAATGATGCATTGAGGGGACGCATAAGTAAGAGGGTCCAAAGGCAGAATATAAGACCTAAAATTAAAATCAATAAGCAAGATTTAACGAAAGCTGATTGTTTAGAGAATTCATAAATCAGTTTGTTAGCTAAATTTTGGATGTTCATATTACTCAACCAATAGATAGTCCTTGCATGATAAAACAAAAACAATCAACACATCAAGGGCAAAACAATGCATAAGGTTTAAAACATAAACGATTTATGCCGTATATTCAAGCACCTAGCATTAAATATGTTGAGGTTTATTGGCTTTTGATAATAACTTTTGATAAATATAACTTCCACATCTACAAGCTAATGCGGCAGCTATAATACTTCCTAATGCAAACGC